TGTGTGTCTCCTCCCAGCAAGACAAACAGCCATTCGTTCCTTAATTCTAAATGGGCAGCTCCACCGACCTTCACCGAACGGCACCAATTAGAATCATAGAGCACGAGAACCGGAAGAGACCTCGAGAGTCATCGAGTCCAGTCCCGGCCCTCGCGGCAGGACCAAGCCCCATCTAGACCATCCCTGGCAGGCGTCTGTCCAACCTGCTCTGAAATCTCTGCAGTAACCGAGATCCCACAACCTCCCCTGGCAATTGATCCCAGTGTTTAACCCCCCTGACAGGCAGGAACTTTTTCCTAATGTCCAACCTCAACCTCCCTTGCTGCAGTTTAAGCCCATTGCTTCTTGTTCTGTCCTCAGAGGCCAAGGAGAACAAGTTTTCTCCCTCTTCCTTGCAACAGCCTTTTAAATACTTGAAACCCGCTCTCCTGTCCCCTCTCAGTCTTCTCCTCTCCAAACTCAACAAGCCCAGTTCTTTCAGTCTTCCCTCCTAGCTCATGTTCTCTAGACCTGTAATCATTCTCATTGCTCTTCTCTGGACCTTCTCCAATTTCTCCACATCTTTCTTGAAATGTGGGGCCCAGAACTGGACACAAGACTCCAACTGAGGCCTGGCCAGCGCAGAGCAGAGCAGAGCAGAGCGGAAGAATGACTTCTTGTGTGTTGCTCACAACACTCCTGTTAATAAATCCCAAAATGGCGTTTGCTTTTTTTGCAACAGTGTCACGCTGTTGATTCATATTTAGCTTGTGGTCCACTCTGACCCCTAGATCCCTTTCTGCAGGACTCCTCCTAGACAGTCGCTTCCCATTCTGTGTGTGACATGGAGCGTTCCCTCCTAAGGGGAGCACTTTGCATGTGTCCTTATTCAACTTCATCTTACTCACCTCCGACCATTTCTCCAGATCATTTTGAATTTTGACCCTCCCTCCAGAGCACTTGCAGCCCATCCCTTAGAATCCTAGAATCACAGGGCAGACAGAGACCTCAGGAGCCATCGAGTCAACCCCCTGCCCAAGGCAGGACCAGCCCAACTCAACCATCCCGGCCAGGGCTGTGTCAAGCCAGGACTTAAAACCCTCCAGGGATGGAGATTCCACTCCTCCCTAGGGAACCCCTCCCAGGGCTTCCCACCCGCCTAGGGAAATAGTTTTTCCTAGTATCCCACCTAGGCCTCCCCCACTGTAAGGTGAGCACATCGCTCCTTGTGCTGCCATCCGCCCCCACTGAGAACAGCCTCTCGCCAGCCTCTTTGGATCCTCCCTTCAGGAAGTTGAAGGCTGCTATCAAATCCCCCCTCACTCTTCTGCAGACTAGTAGAATCTAGCAACGGAAATTTAGGTT